GTAGAATCACTGAATGCTTATTAGATCTTCCTGTTGTAGAATCACTGAATGCTTATTAGATCTTCCTGTTGTAGAATCACTGAATGCTTATTAGATCTTCCTGTTGTAGAATCACTGAATGCTTATTAGATCTTCCTGTTGTAGAATCACTGAATGCTTATTAGATCTTCCTGTTGTAGAATCACTGAATGCTTATTAGATCTTCCTGTTGTAGAATCACTGAATGCTTATTAGATCTTCCTGTTGTAGAATCACTGAATGCTTATTAGATCTTCCTGTTGTAGAATCACTGAATGCTTATTAGATCTTCCTGTTGTAGAATCACTAAATGCTTATTAGATCTTCCTGTTGTAGAATCACTGAATGCTTATTTTCATCAGCTTCACATCAGTCTGTCTATATTTGTCTGAAAATAAAAACAAAAAGAGACTTGTAATATACAATAACAGACATTCATTTCACATAGTCTGGTATTGTCATAAATAGGCAGATATTTTATTTAGTATGAATAAAAAACATACAATAAATCAATGGTCATGAAAACTAACAAAAAACTGACTAAACTAAATCTTAGAAATAAAATAAATAAGTTATCCCAAACAGTTGACAATGAAGCTATCTTTAGTGCCTAGCAAGCACTTACATTTTTTGAGAGTTTGTAACTTGCAATATCTTATTTCAAAATGACAAAACTATACCATTCAGGGTCAAAGTTCATGTAAACTGTGAATATATGTGGAATTGATACATAATAATAGCCCATTAGAGGGCAACTACATCTCTACACCTATCTTTTTACCTATAGTCATTTTTCAAAAAAAAAACACAGAGGTTGAAATTTAAAAAAAATAATACATGGTTGTCCTTATAAAAATAAAGTTTTCTAATGAAGTTTTTAAAACTTTGGAAAACCAAAGATATCTTTTGTCACCTTTCACAAAATATTTTTTTGCGGTTACTAAGTCAGTCAGATTCATGTCATGTTGCTTTCTAAATAACTTTTCAAAAAGTGTTAGTAATTATACTATGTCAGAACTATTTGTAGAACAAGAAATTTGTGAAAGTACCTCCTGGTAGTCAGTTGCTCAAGTTTGTGTAAAAAAAAGTGTTGTTTTTTTTAATTATCACATTTTACAGTAAGTATGGTAGATGGCTGAAATGAGAACTAATATTATTTCCTTGATTTTGAGTATCTTTTCAGTTTATGATTTTGTTCACAAAACCCAGTTAAAATACTGTAAAATCTGTATTAAAAGCTGTGGCTTCTATTAAAATGGTACAATGCAGCAGAGGGGATGCAGCTTCTATTAGAGAATCTACACATATGACAAATGATGAATATTTTGGTTCTCAATTGTTCAAAAAGAATGGGTGAGGCTTCTATTGTGGATGTGGCTTCTAATACAGATTTTACAGTAATATGGTCACTGAAATAATTTTTTCTCAAAAGAGTCAAATATCAATGAACATGGTGATATATAGTTTCAAAAAGCATGTGGTGAAAAAATGATATGCCGGTACTAAGATGGTACTCATGACTGAATTATGATGACTACTGTAAAACCATTTATTTTCACATTTAACCATTTTGAACAATTTCACTGTTTTAAGATCACAAACTGATGTTATTGTACACATGGGTTTAATTTAGAGAATTTTATTTATCTGCAAATATAATTAAATTAAAAACCAGCAAATACTTGATACATTTATGGTATTTATTTGTTTGTGAATTAATGCTTTAACATAAAATCACACCAAAAAACAAACATTTTTTTTACAGTTCTTCTTAAAAACTGTGTGTCTGAAATACTAAATTGGAATAATTTTCTTGTCCCTATTTATTATGTTGAATGTTCATGAATGATTTTAATTATTAATGAATAGCTTTTGATGGTGAAAACATTGGAAATCAGAAACGCCAAAACTGACCTGGCAGTCAATACTTAGAAAGAAAATGAACTTCAGTTAAAAATATGCAGCACACCACAACAACCTGTGCTCTCTGTGCTTCCTGTCCACGGAGGTAGCTCCCTTAAGACAGAATAACATTTGTTATATAAGTAAGTGGAGTTTGTGAAATGAGAGAAGAAAAACTGAGAGCAAAGTGACTTAAATCGTAAAGACCTTCTCGAGGAGCTATGGTTTGTTATTGTGCTTATCACTTTTTGCACTCACCATAATTTTTAGTAAAAACTCACAAATGCAGAAATCTTTGACAAAAATATATGTTTATATACTCACTTGCAATCAAATCGTTTTTCAGCAAATATCCTTATAAGGAATGAAGCAACACAATCTGGGTCAAAGGTCGATGGAATCAATACATAATGCCCAGGATCCAATGAGAGTCGTTTATTTACTTCACGATAATTAATATAAACACCTGACTTTGCTGTAGCGTAGTTGTACATGAAATGTTCTTTTGTTAATCGTTCATTGGGATTGTCAGTCTGTGGGAAAGGAGAATATGTAATCAGAGAAACTTGGTGAAATATGCATGGCATATTAAATACTGCAGAAGCATTTGTTGTCACTGGTATTAAATTTCAATATTATGATAACTCCAGTATATTTCACAGATTGGCCAGTGAAATATTAGGCTCTATTGCATTTTTACATGTTCATGCAGATTTATTTTACAAGATTCAACAAAGATTCAGCAGAGATGGCAAAATTAAAATAAAGACATTAACAGTATATACATATCAATATATTTATGCTTGATACGAGTCCCATGCTCAGTGTATGTATGGGCTGTACAATAACTGTATCATTATGAATTATCAAATTCCTGAATATTTCAGCTTTCAGAAAATATATAGTTTGCCTTAAATATGTTTTGATTTGAATTGCTCAGATCATTTTAACTAAGCGATAGGATTTCCCCTGCTGCTATCTTTATAGAAATATTACACAATCCAAATCTTGATCTGCTGCCAACATTATCAGCAATTTGTTTATTACCAGTGATACATACATGTATACTTAATATAAACAACAACAAACAACACTGTTATCTTATTGTCCAAAGTAAATGACTTGTTCTTGTCAACAAGTTACTGCAATTGTGATATGTTAACAAATGTGCCAGCTTACATTTCTGTACAAATGTTTAATACTTTAGATGTGCATTTCTATAAGTGCATATGCAACGACAAATGCATTTGATGAGTGCGGGATTATTCAAATATGGCTTATACAGATTATTACTCTAATAGTAATCTTATTTAATTGTGTAGAAATCAACAGACTTAGTATTGACTATTCTCGTTCAGAATTACAACATTAATTTGGTATTTTAATTTCAGGGTAAACCAATTGAACTTTAAACAATGATTGTATTTTATCAAAGGTTTGTTTGTCATAAATGTTTTTACACTTTGCATGTCACGTACTTTATTCAACAATGCTTAACATACCTTATAAAGAATGAATCCAATTTGGTGATATTTATTTGCTAAATGTTTGTGTTTTCGTCTATATTCTTGCATCAGAGCAACCACTATGGAACATTTACCCTGTTCTTCAATCTCATCAGTTTCTGGATTCCAGTCATCTGAGGTGAGAGTAAACAAACAATCAAACAATACTGTAGAATACTTTATTTAATATGGAATTTATTTCACTGACTAGATAACACCGAGACTAAACCTGCGTACCTGGCTCTGTCAGCGTAATGACAAATTGTGGATTTGTCACAAATTTGTCAATATTATTTCTACAGCCTCCAGCATTGACACCTTTAATCCAGGCACCTCGCAACGTTTTCAGGTAATACTTTTCTCCTTGGTTTTCGACAATGTCTGCAACGCCATCGCCGTCAAAGTCTGGACCAACAGTACATATTGTAACCTCATTAAAATGTTCACAGAAGTCTTCGTAAGAAATCCTGTAATAAATTGAAAATTTCTGTCATGAGTTAACCAATCAACTATTGCCCTTCGATGCATTCAATCAACTATTGCCCTACAATGTATTCAATCAACTAGTGACCTACCATGCAGTCAATCAACTATTGCCCTACCATGTATTCAATCAACTATTGTTCTACCATGTATTCAATCAACTATTGCCCTACCATGTACTCACTCAACTATTGCTCTACTGTGT